TTTATTAGTGGTTAATAGAAAAATAATAATCGATCCCGAACCACCTAACGGAAAATGTTTTTTGGCGGCTCTTGGAGTGTTCGAGAGAAAGGTTTTGCGGAAGATATACGGGCCTTTACGCGTTGGCGACGGCGAGTACCACAGACGATGTAACGATGAGCTGTATGAGCTTTACAACAACATGGACATAGTGCAGTGAATTAAAATACAACGGCTCCGCTGGCTTGGCCATGTCGTTCGAATGAACACCGACGCTCCAGCTCTGAAAATATTCAGTTCGGAACCCGCTGGTGATAGCAGAGGAAGAGGGAGGCCCCCACTGCGATGGAAAGATCAGGTGGAGAAGGACTTGGCTTCACTAGGCGTTTCCAATTGGCGTCAGTTGGCACAGAAGAGAACCGACTGGCGTGCTTTGCTGTACTCGGCCAAAATCGCTTAGGCGGTTACAGCACCAAAAAAGAAGAATTAAAAAAAATTAACTCACTATTATTAACCAATTCCAAATGCAATTTTTCTTTTTTTCGTTTTGCAGTTTGGGGACCTCGTTAGCGTTACTTTGATGAAACAAAATTTTGTTAAAGTCCCATTTTTTTCTTTACTTTTGGTTAATGTCGTAAAAAGCGACAGTTAACATAGAAAGCATTCAAATCGGTTCACTGAAAATCAAAACTAAAGATCATTTCACATCACCAATCCATATCAACCCTCTTGGAAAATAGCTTATGCTTTAATTGCAGCACCTTGTGCCACTTGCAAGTAGTGGGAAGGATTTACATTGCGGAGAAAGCTGCGTCGCATGAATAACGCTTCATGTGACGAAACATCAAGCGATGTAACATCACGTGATAAATAGTCACACGTGAAAAAATCGCTTAAAAAATTGCTCCAAAAGAATGTAAAAAAATAAAACTGGTGTGTAGGGTTTAAATGGCCAAATATAAATTAAAACTAATAGCGGATGATGGAAATCACGGGATGGAAATGTTTCCTCAGAAATTACAGTCGCGAAAATGTGCAAGAAGAACTAAACCTTCTAAAGAATTGCGTAAAAAAGCAGACTAAATACTAAAAAGAATTTTTCATTTCATCCTCTCGAGCCGCGATATCACTTGATGGGCTTTTCGCAAAAGATTTAATGAACATTTCGGTTGCCATACGCACCTTCAGCAACAGAAAATGGCATGCGATCTGATGTAAAAAGGCCATAACATCATAAGGAAATGAGGGCACATTGTGCCAAAATATTTGTCGGAATCAAAACAAAAATTTCGATTTTATGTTTCAGAACTGGAATTACAAAAATCACATGAGAAGTCAAGAAATGATAAACAAAATTTAGTGCCAAAAAGGCTTTGCGGCAAAAAAAAAGCAAAGATCAGAAAGCCATGAAAAAGACTTTGCATTCATCCACCGAAAATCTATCGAAAATAATGGCAGAAAATGTGTCGCATAGAAATTATAAGAAAAAAAAATACGACAAAATTAAAAAAAGCATACACTGTCGAAATAAAGTATTGGCACAGCAAATTTTTCACAAAATATGCACCAATTTTTATTGTAATATTTTTCCAATTTTGTATAAAACGTTGGTTCATTCTACAGCAAAAAACATAAAAATATAATTCCTTAACTTTGTGCAAAACCCACGAAAATTCAGCAAATTTTCATGCACATTTTAAACTTTTTAATCTGATTTTTTTGAATTTTGTTTGAGTATGTAGTTTTGCAGTCCATTAAAATCTAGTAAAAAATGCAAGTTCGGAGTAAGTCAAAAATCGCACTGGTTTTAGAGAATTTTTTTGTTGAAGGAGTTTGCATTTTTTTCATATAAAGTATTTTCGAATAAATTTTTTGTATGGAAAAGACTGAGTGAAAAAAAATTACGAAAAATCATAGCTACTTAAAACTTGTATTTTATTATAATAAAATTGATTGCCCTACAAATCTGAATACTCAAAAAATTCCAAAAAATCTGATTAAAGTTTAAAATTTGCATGAAAATTTGCTGAATTTTCGCGAGTTTTGCACAAAGTTTAGGAATTATATTTTTATGTTTTTTGTTGTGGAATGCATTTTGTTTTGCATTTTTTTCATATAAAGTATTTTC